CAAATCTAGAAACATAATCGGGGCAAACAGGATTCATATGCTCCTAGAGTGTCCAAGGGATGCACAGTGAATTTCAGCTTCCCTGGCAGTACTAGAGGGAGGAGCACGCATTGCGGTAAATGCATGGGCGAGGTCACAAGTGCATGAGGCTCTCCTCCAAGTTTTAACTGCACCAAGCGTCCATCCTGACCACCAAATCCCCAATCGTCTCCAGGATGGGCTACTGAGGGCCTGAAGGGGAGCTGAGGGGAGGGGAGCTGAGGGGAGGGGAGCTGAGGGGAGGGGAGGAGAGGGGAGGGGAGGGTGCAATGGGGGCCTACCAAGGAATCTTTCTATCAGAACATTATGGGCTATGTGAAATGGGCTCCACACTTTGTACCAATGTGGGGAATTGAACACGGACCTTCGTTGTGACGGGCAAACGCTTTAACCTTGATGCTACGTTGCCACCCCTGATTCACAAAAGCGTAGAGACATTGACAACATTTCAAGAAGCGTTATCAAAGAATTATTTAATTACTCAAAAACATTTTTCATTATTCATATACTTGACTTGTCTTTGCATGTGTTTGTGATGGGATCCACCGATGGGGACGAACATGCTCAACTTACAAGGCACACCTGGTATCATCACCATTTGAAAGTGATTCATAAACACATGCTTATGATCATCGAAATCGTACAATGGACTCTGCTTTTACAGGCCTCAAAGTTGCGACTAAAACGGTCACCAATGCGACCTAAATTTGAGTTTGTTTACTGTCTAAAATTCAGAGGTAGCCAAATGAATACCGTGAAAAATTCTTGTGGCAACTAAATTCTATTGCTACACATCTGTAAACACAAAAATAAATAACAGCTGATCTTGGAAAACATGTCTGCTAATAATTGTACTCGCAAATAATTCCTCCAAAAGTTGACAATGAACCAAAATACAAAAATATTAATGTAGTTTGCACTTTATTTTAGTTGACAATGCTCAATGGATAAGCAAGGATATGCCTATATAATCTGGTAACATAAATTGTATCATTCTTTGAGTCACAAGTAACAAAAATCAAGTACAGTTTCCACTGATATACAATTCCAGGACTAGTGCTAAAATTTGTACATATTGTAATAGTTATTTGACAAAAAATAATTGAGGCCTGCTTTTAGCAGATATTTCTCATGATTATGGAAAGACTTTGCCTATTTTATTTCAATCATGAGGGAATTTTCTTGTTAAAAATTTCAAATATTTCCCAAGTCAAAAAGGCCAACTGAATACGGAATAGAGAAGCAGGATCCAGAAGTAGAAGCACCTGTGTTCAATGAGGCAGATTAGGTCATGAATACACTGAGGCCTAATAAGCAGGCACACAAGCCTTGGACCAATGGTTATGTCCGTAACTACCTTTTGACTAGACTAACACTTAGTCAATGAAAACATGTATTTAAAAATTTCTTCGAAAGAACCTTTACTTGTCTGCTATGGAATCAAGCAAACTAGACTTGGTTAGTTTTATCTAGACTTGCCTAGGCTTATTAAAAATAAGATACCTAAAAAATATAAATTTCAATTATTTCCCAAGTCAAAAAGGCCAACTGAATACGGAATAGAGAAGCAGGATCGAGAGGTAGAAGCACCTGTGTTCAATGAGGCAGATTAGGTCATGAATACACTGAGGCCTAATAAGCAGGCACACAAGTAGCTGTAATGGCTCCCTAAGCCCGCCACACGGCCACCTCGGACATCGACCAACAGACCAGGATGAAACTTGGTAAGTGACACTCGCTGATGACGGTTGCCAGTGGTAACCATCCATGCAGGATTACAGCTTTAACTGATCCCATAAGAGGCCCTCTTTTGATGTAAGGACTGGCCCGACATGATGAGCACACAACTGAGCACACTTCAAGCCAGCCACACAATACAGGGTTAAGAAAGATCACAACGCTATCTTGAGCTTTTGAGGCACAAATCTTTACGAAATCTGAAGGAAACGTAATAAACTTCAATTACTGTTAGCCTTGGACCAATGGTTATGTCGGTAACTACCTTTTGACAAGACTAACACTTAGTCAATGAAAACATGTCTTTAAAATAATTTTTTTAAATTTCTTCGAAAGAACCTTTCCTCGTCTGCTATGGAATCAAGCAAACTAGACTTGGTTAGTTTTATCTAGACTTGCCTAGGCTTATTAAAAAAAAAGATACCTAAAAAATATAAATTCCACAGTCATGGTGCATATCAACCCACTCGATAATTTTACACTTTATCTGCACCCAAAAATAGTCCATTTGCACCAGTAATATCTGTTCAACTAAGATATTCCTGAATAAACTCCCAATTTTTGTTAAGCTTGTGAACACTTGACCTGTTCCCAGATAAGACCTATCAACTCATAACGTTTGAAACCAACCAGGAATGTCAAGTGGTAGTTGTCACAACCCTTAAGTTAAACTTACATATTGAGGAGGCCCCTAGATTTAACTATTGACAGGGAACCTCAAGGCCCCTAGATTTAATTATTGACGGGGAACCTCAAGGCCCCTAGATTTAACTATTGACGGGGAACCTCAAGGCCCCTAGATTTAATATTGACGGGGGACCTCAAGGCCCCTAGATTTAACTATTGACAGGGAACCTCAAGGCCTCTAGATTTAACTATTGACGGGGAACCTCAAGGCCTCTAGATTTAACTATTGATGGGGAACCTCAAGGCCCCTAGATTTAACTATTGACAGGGAACCTCAAGGCCTCTAGATTTAACTATTGACAGGGAACCTCAAGGCCCCTAGATTTAACTATTGACAGGGAACCTCAAGGCCCCTAGATTTAATTATTGACAGGGAACCTCAAGGCCTCTAGATTTAACTATTGACTGGGAACCTCAAGGCCTCTAGATTTAACTATTGACAGGGAACCTCAAGGCCTCTAGATTTAACAAGTATTTGTCACAGAGTGACGAAATATCCCCCGCCTGTACACCATACTACCAAATATGAAGACAATCCAGCGATTAGTTCTTGAGATATTGTGGCAACACCGTTTTCCAACTCCAAAAACAGATTTGCCTGCTGTGACCTTGAAAATGGGGTCAAGGTCACCAAATCTGACAGGTGTATGCGGTGTCTGTATATACACTATAGTTCCAAATATGAAGACAATCCAGCGATTAGTTCTTGAGATATCGCGGCAACACCGTTTTCTAACTCCAAAAGCAGATTTGCCTGCTGTGACCTTGACAATGGGGTCAAGGTCACCAAAACCGACTGGTGTCTGCGGTGTCTGTATATACACCATAGTTCCAAATATGAAGACAATCCAGTGTTTAGTTCTTGAGATATCGCGGCAACAACGTTTTCCAACTCTAAAAGCAGATTTGCCTGCTGTGACCTTCAAAATGGGATCAAGGTCACCAAAACCGACTGGTGTCTGCGGAGTCTGTATATACACCATAGTTCCAAATATGAAGACAATCCAGTGTTTAGTTCTTGAGATATCGCGGCAACACCGTTTTCCAACTCTAAAAGCAGATTTGTCTGCTGTGACCTTGAAAATGGGATCAAGGTCACCAAAACCGACTGGTGTCTGCGGAGTCTGTATATACACCATAGTTCCAAATATGAAGACAATCCAGTGTTTAGTTCTTGAGATATCGCGGCAACACCGTTTTCCAACTCCAAAAGCAGATTTGTCTGCTGTGACCTTGAAAATGGGATCAAGGTCACCAAAACCGACTGGTGTCTGCGGAGTCTGTATATACACCATAGTTCCAAATATGAAGACAATCCAGTATTTAGTTCTTGAGATATCGCGGCAACACCGTTTTCCAACTCCAAAAGCAGATATGCCTGCTGTGACCTTGAAAATGGGGTCAAGGTCACCAAAACCGACTGGTGTCTGCGGAGTCTGTATATACACCATAGTTCCAAATATGAAGACAATCCAGTGTTTAGTTCTTGAGATATCGCGGCAACAAACAGGTGGGACGTACGGACGGACGTACGGACGGTCGTGAATACTATATCCCCCGCTTCGCGCTTTCGCGAACCCCAAGGCCTCTAGATTTAACTATTGACAGGGAACCTCAAGGCCTCTAGATTTAGCTATTGACAGGGAACCTCAAGGCCTCTAGATTTAACTATTGACAGGGAACCTCAAGGCCCCCCCATGACATCGAGTCTCAATTTGTAACATTGTATTTAATCTGGCTCAAATCCATAATTGTCAAACCTCCCCACGACAGAGACATCCATCGACAGTGTAAATCCCTGTTTATTGCCATGTTGGTTGGCCTTCCATTATGAACTGACACTTATGACGACTCATGAAGCAGATTCAGAGCAAGTCCAGCCCTGTCCGTCCAAATTGACACAACAAAGACACGCTAGACAAAGACTGCTAAGGTAAAAAGCATCACCCCTTGGCAATTTCAAACACTGCCAACATCCACAAAACAAAAAACAGATGTAATAAATTCTGTAACAAACAGACTTATAGGTCTCATCTAACAGCCATATTGCAGCTTCTGCACTGGCGCAACAAAGTCATAACCACAGGAATGTTTGTTTGTTTGTTTATTGTTTACTGTTTAAGGACGTACTCAGCAATATTCCAGCTATATGACAGCGGTCTGTAAATAATCGAGTCTGGACCAGACAATCCAGTGACTGGCATCATGAGAATCAATTTACGCAATTGGAGTGAGTGAGAATGGTTTTACGCCGCTTTTAGCAATATTCCAGCAATATCACAGCGGGGAACAACAGAAATGGGCTTCACACATTGTACCCATGTCGGGAATCGAACCGGGGTCTTCGGCGTGACGAGCAAATGCTTTAACCACTAGGCTACCCAACTGCCGGGGAATTGGGATACGATGACATGCTTTGGTATGACACGGCCTGGGATCGAACCTTGGGCCTTCCGCTCTCCAGGCAGACGCTCTACTACTAGACCACGGAGGCGGCTCAACACAAAAGGGAACATACAAGTTAGAAGGTCACTCACCACAAAGAGATGTTTACGGGTGGTTGAGGTAAGTCCAACAAGTTCCACCTTCCATTTTACAGCAAGTTGGGAATACAACACAAACACCAGAGGGCGCTGGAACTTGTCAATAATATCTGAAACAAAAGGACACATCACAGGTTTGGTGCATCCTAATACTTAGTGAGGTCAGATATCAGAACAATATGTTATGCACTCAGCAAAATTCCAGCTATATGACAGCGGTCTGTAATTAATCGAGTCTGGACCAGACAATCCAGTGATTGACATCATGAGCATCGATCCACGCAATTGGGATACGAAGACATGCATCCACCAAGTCAGCGAGCCTGCCCACCCGATCTCGTTAGTCGCCTCTTTACAGCAAGCATGGGTTGCTGAAGACTACTTCTAATTCACTGGTCCGGGTCCGCTATATGCAATAAACAAGTTGTTATCCATAAAGTTGTACGTTTTCTTACTAATACCCCGTTCACATGCGCCTCTATACATAAGTGTGTATATGTGCATACGTGTGTAGAAGTACATACGTGAGTGTACTTGTCTGTTGAACGCGTTTACTCATGTGTGTATATTTACACCAGGAGCAAATTTGCATCACGTCTGGAGCAGGTGCAAATGTAAATGTAAATTTGTACTATGTGGAAATGTTGCAATGTGAACGTTTATGTTAATGTAGAAGGATGATCTAATTAATATCTGTTCGTTTGCCAACACCGAACAAATTGTCAACAGTTGCCAACTTGACCAGACAATCCAGTGATTGACATCATGAGCATCGATCCACGCAATTGGGATACAATGACATGCATCAACCAAGTCAGCGAGTCTGACCACCCGATCCCGTTAGTCGCCTCTTACGACAAGCATAGTTGTCTTTTACGCCAAACATGGGTTGCTGAAGACCTGTTGTAAAGTGTATATGGAGTACTACATACCTGGATCGAGGATGCTCATTGGTTCCACACGCAGATTGACCTGAATCCGTTTCTCTTTGACCTTGACATTGATGACATGGACTTCCTGTCCCTTGTTGGAGGTCATATTGGTGGTACATCCCTTCCCCATGGTGTAGTTCATCAAATGGGCCTTCACGAAGGGAGAGTCAAAAGGGGAGGTAATCACACATTTGGTCTTGCTTTTTGAGGCTGAAAAACAAACCATTTACTTTACTTCATTTGCATCAAAAAGAGACAGACAGACAGACAGACAGACAGACAGACGAAATACAACTTGTCTCTGTACATTGAGGAAAATATTTCTTGAAAACAATGAATCATGTTAACACTATTGTGTCATGCCAACCTCTTACTTATCAAAAACTATAAGTTTATACAGTGTGTTTTTTTCACGAACACTGGTATCATCACTATTTGATAGTGATTCATGCTCTTGACACAGTCAGAATCGTACAATCGACTCTGCTTTTAGCAGAGATTTCATTTGGCTTCCCTGTCCCTTATGTTTATATTTACTATGAAATTGTCTTGCTTTTTCTTGGAAAAAGTGCCCTACCAATCTGAGGTGGCCGTGGTGTGCGTGGTGTGCGTGGTGTACGTGGTGTGCGTGGTGTACGTGGTGTGCGTGGTGTACGTGGTGTGCGTGGTGTGCGTGGTGTACGTGGTGTACGTGGTGTGCGTGGTGAGCGTGGTGTGCGTGGTGTGCGTGGTGTACGTGGTGTGCGTGGTGTGCGTGGTGTACGTGGTGTACGTGGTGTGCGTGGTGAGCGTGGTGTGCGTGGTGTGCGTGGTGTACGTGGTGTGCGTGGTACGTGGTGTGCGTGGTGTGCGTGGTGTGCGTGGTGTGCGTGATGTACGTGATGTACGTGGTGTGCGTGGTGTACGTGGTGTGCGTGGTGTGCGTGGTGTACGTGGTGTGCGTGGTGTGCGTGGTGTGCGTGGTGTACCTGGTGTGCGTGGTGTGCGTGGTGTGCGTGATGTACGTGGTGTGCGTGGTGTACGTGGTGTGCGTGGTGTACGTCGTGTGCGTGGTGTGCGTGGTGTACGTGGTGTGCGTGGTGTGCATGGAAGACACTACTGAACACTATTTGGTGACACCAGGCTCTTCGTTTTTCCAAACCTACATCCTTTATAGTCATGTTTTTACTAGGATTCCAAGCTAAGTGCCCTTGGCTGGCAAATTGGGAAAGCAATCATTATTTTGTTCAAAACTGGGATGTAACAAAAACTAAGCATTAAATCCTTACCTAGTTATTGGTGATCTTGCCAGTGAAATACATGTTATCTCTCATGTAACAAAGCCATGGAATTAGTTACCAGTTATGCACATTAACATGAACTGGGAAATGTTTAATCAAATCTGGGAACTATGATCAACATTGCTGTTGACTTGGGGCTGAAGTATTTGCCTCAAATTAAATCTCTGTGCAATGTTTGTCCCATGAAATTGTTGTCATACACCAACGGTATTTGGAAAAAGTGTGACAACATATAGGTTCCAAACAAGCTGAAAGAAGGGATTCAACACGTAGGTCTTCACTCAAGTGCTCAAGGCTCTGTTTTACCCATTAAAACAATTCCGTGCCTGTTTTACATACACCACCTAGTTATTTGATATGGCAGGGATAGGATGAGGTCTAGTGAGCACACAGCCTTTGGCGAAAAAAGAAAAAAGTCAAAGTTATAAATAGGCCAGTGCTGTTGAGCCCTAGCCTTGCTCTAAGGCTGTACTGAAAGAAAAGTCAATGGATGTGTAGTAATCCTATCCTCCTTATGTGCAAGTCTAGATATGTGGACAGTCTCTAATAGGGACAACTTGTGCTTATTATTTACATAATCCAGGACCTATGATTAAAACTAATAACTATTGCTTTAGAGACTTTTGCACTCTGTTGAGTCCATTTGGTGGCGAGAGAGTCTGGGTAATACTTCATGCAGGATCATATGAGAAATGTTTTTTCAGTTTTTTGTTTCATTCTTGTTTAACGCCACACTCAACAATATTCCAGCTATATGACGGCAGTCTGTAAATAATCGAAATCTGGACCAGACAATCCAGTGATTGATATCATAAGCATCGATCCAAGCAATTGGGATCGATGACATGCATCAACAAAGTCAATGTGCCTGACCACCTGATCACCTCTTACGACAAGCATAGTCACCTTTTACGGCAAGCATGGGTTGCTGAAGACCTATTCTACCCCGGATCACGTAAGAAACCAGGTTCCTGACCCCCTAATACCCGACCTGACCCCTATTATCTGACCCTACCCGGGTACCCGCTGTAGGTCTCGAGTTCGGCACAAAATGTCCAGTTTGATTTACTTGAGCCCTATTTAGATACACGTATAAAACGATCGGATCATGCATACCCTGAAGTTGACTTAAACTTTATCTTCATACAAACATATAAAAGTCAGAAGGAATGCATGCAGTCAGAAAGTAATGTGAAGATTACCATCTAGGAGCGTAACCATAGGAGTTTTATCGTTATTGTCTTTAAAGAATGTATCACATGACTAACCATGGGTCCAGGTAGTCCTGTGCGTACCCATGTCCGCCCCGAGAACCCGAGTTACCCGTCCCAGCCCTAGATCATACAAGTACAGAGGGATGGTATTTCATTGAATAGGAAGCACTGGCCGATGTTCAAGTCATTATAGGAATTTATATAGTGGATACCCTTTGTGCGTCAGTGTTCTGTAATCACCCTGCGTTACTGCCTCGTGTTTGAACGGGCAGCCTCTAAGTGTACATTTCTACTTTGGAGGGGTTTTACAGCATTCACACTTGGCCTCCTTTGAACAGATAATAAACAAGAAAAGTTTCGTTATTATATCTTGGCATTCACCTTGTTGTTAATGGCAATGTATATGACAAGATGCACACAAGTGAGACATCGTGACGACGTGTTGTCGACACACATGGAGTATTGTCTTACGGTCCAGCTTGGAGACAACTTGTGTCGGGGTGTGCACATGATAGAGTGGAAGGTGCCTAATGTGTCGCAAAGAGGAAAGAGGTAGTCCACCTCTCACAGTCGGGGGGGGGGGGGGAGAGCTGAGGCAAGAGGACTTTATCTGCCCCTCTTTAGAGTGATAAATTGCCCATTTGGGTTTACAACTGAATGATTTCAGCACCGACTCCATTGTAGTTATTCTTTCAACTCTGTCAAATCAGTTGGCAAGCCCTCTAGTGTCAATACAGGTCATAGGCCCAGCTCCGAATGCACAGACTCGGGTGAGCAAGTGAGTAGCTTGTGATTACTGGACTGGGCGTAAACAGTCTTACCCTGTACCATACACAGAGAACTATTTCTGTCAGTGTGTGGCTGTGGCACAGGGTGTCTTACCCAGAACCCCCAGACGCAGCTGTTTCTGTCAATGTGTGACAACTGGATAGAGGGTCTTACCCTGCACCATACACAGAAAACTTTTTCTGTCAGTGTGTGGCTATATAATGGCACAGGGTGACCCCACACAGGCAGCTGTTTCTGTCAATGTTCAACGACTGGACAGGGTGTATCTCCAATCTCATTAAAATAAGATCTTAGTTTTTGCTTCCGCTACATAAAGATGTGAGGATATCCCATTATGGGTCACACCAGAACAACCTTTCATCCGACCAATCAGAGCACCGCGTACCAGATCATGAAAGTGACAGCAACCTCGAAAAAGATAAGAAGAGTATTCCAAACAACTGTTACAGACTTTGTGACTAAATCCCTACACTCTAGGCTATCTATTAGCCATTACAGAATGTTTTTTTGTTCAGTCTTCAAATTTTTTTAACGAGTATTTGTCAAAACATGTTTCAAAGTGTAGTCGTGTATCGTTACACCGCTACTGTCAACTCAGCCACACCATCCATCTGGTTGGTCTGAAGTCAGTAGCAACTCCAACAACAAACCTCATTATCAAAACAACGACAACTGTGAAGATCCGGGGTAGAATGGGTCTTCAGCAACCCATGCTTACCATAAAATGCGACTATACTTGTCGTAAGAGGCGACTAACGGGATCGGGTGTTCAGGCTTGCAGACTTGGTTGATGCATGTGGAATGGATCGATGCTCATGATGTCAATCACTGGATTGTCTGGTCCAGACTCGATTATTTACAGACCGCCTTTACGAAGTGGCCATAAAATTTCTGAGTCCCGTGATGGGATTCAAACCCCAGACCTTCTGATCAGAGGTCTTGTCAACATGACTAAAGAGGTTAACCCCATCAGCAAGCTGACAAGGTAAGGATGTAACCTATGGGACGACTCCACACCCTGCTACAGTTATATAGCTAGAATATTGCAGCTTTAAACAACAAACAACCAAACAAATCAAAAGGGTAAATGATCCCCACTTAAAGTGTAAACTCAAGAAACACAAGGGGCAGAAGGTGGAGGTATGAGGGACGTAGTGGAGATAAATGTGGCACACTCCTTGTAATTAATTTATCTTATACATAACAAGATCCAGATCCTGGCTTATGGAGGTCTAAATATAGGTGAACAGGGGGCCAAAACTAGACAACCATGCAGGAAGCAGCTTCCTCACATTCCTGCCCCATGTACCAGATTACACCTGCATCCAGGGGAATATGGGTCATCTGTGTGATGGTTTGTTTGTTGGTTGTTTAACGACGCACTCAGCAAGATTCCAGATAAATAACGGTAGTTTGTAAATAATCAAATCTGGACCAGACAATCCAGTGACTGACATCATGAGCATCAATCCACACAATTGGGATATGATGACATGCATCACCTAAGTCAGCGAGCCTGGCCATCCCGAACCCATTAGTCTACCCAGGATCTTCACGGGTCCTGTGTGATGGTGCCCTTGATACGTTGCCTGTACCGGTACAATGGATCAGTCACCTTAGACAGTTAGGGGCATAAGCATCACCTATGTCCATCAACACAGGTAATAAGCATCACCTATGTCCGTCAACACAGGCAATAAGCATCATTTAAGTCCATCAACACAGGTAATAAGCATCACCTGCGTCCACCAACAGAGGCAATAAGCATTATCTATGTCCATCAACAGAGGCATTAAGTATCACCTATGTCCATCAACAGAGGCATTAAGCATCATCTATGTCCATCAACACAGGTAATAAGCATCACCTGCGTCCACCAACAGAGGCAATAAGCATCACCTATGTCCACCAACACAGGCATTAAGCA